AAGAGAAGAGAAGAGAAGAGAAGAGAAGAGAAGAGAAGAGAAGAGAAATCTTAAAATAGTCCCCTGAAAAAAGATAAGAAAAGAGCCTGGATACTACTTTTGTGACTTTAAAGGAAAATAAATGAATTCACTTAACCCTGCTGAGAGAAATACCTCTGCAGGTTTTAGAGAGGAATCCTTTATTTACATTGCACTTGGGTACCATTAACAGTTAAAATATTTTTTGTATTTTCTTTGAGTAATTGACACGAACACATGCAGTATCACTGATTAAGTGCAACCTACCTCCTGGAAAAAAGTTTTCTTCCTATGTGTGTATTTTAAGACTAAAAATTATGCTCCAAATAGAGCTAGGGAAAGTTCCACAGAGCTACCAGATGCTTTCCTGAGTTTTCAAAACTTTATTCTCCCCTCAGATGAGCAACAGTAAAAAGTGAAAGAAAGTGTTCAAAAAAAAAAAAAAAAAAAAAAAATCCAATGAAAATTAAGGCACCTGTACTAAGCAACATGAATTTAGGATACCTTCAGTTTTAAATTCCTTCCTTCTCGAATTATTCACCTCAGCACTAACATTCACCACCTGCATTTTTAGAGGCTAGAAACCATCACGAGGTTTGCACAGTATGCATTTGCTATCGTAACATATTCATATACTTTACTTGCTGTATTGGAAAAGATCTAGCTAAAGATGTTTTATTTCAGAACGTTTCACTTGGCATCTGCTGGACACATTGGATACTACCAAGGTTAGCTATGCAGGAGTTTTCTCTGACTCTAAAATCTGTTCCAGGAGAATAACAGTAAAATGAGGATTACACCATTTGTGAAGGGCATACAGTGATTACAATGCAAACAGCAAATAAGATGCTGTTCTGAGTCTGCTTCACTATCCATCTACACAACTCTCAAAGAGGCCCTGAGAAATTCATCATGTGAAAACAGGAAGATAGGGATAGTTCTAGATTTTCACAACTTTAACTTACCACAGCAGAACTGCAATTACAGAAAAGCTAATGGCTCAGTAGCAAAATATGAACCATGAAATGGGAGAGAATGATGCTTTGCAAGTTCAGCAATGCGGTTTCTAAAGTTGAGACTCTGGTCCAGTCCACCAGCATACAGTGAAGCAGCACAACAAGCTCTGAAGTCCTTGTTAAGACAAGAGTATGCAAAGAAATATGGTGCACGTGAAAGTGAAGACAAGAGATCGATGCCGGGGTTGCTCTGTGGCCATGTATTACTTACTGCACAAGGTGGTTCCCTACATTCTACAAGATGTGACTTCAGAGGAACATAGGTTTGTATAACAAGCATACATCATACTGCCTTAATTTCAGACAAAGCACATCCCATTTTAGTTTTTACATTTTTGTTTGTTTTGAGGTTCTTCTGGTGGTTGTTTTTTGATAACTAAATCCCTTTCATTCTTCAGACTTTGTGTGGTGCAATAAAGCAGGCAGATCAGATTGGTTCCCATACATGCTGGTGACAAAGCTGCTTTCATGTCTTACTGTGTTGGTGTTAGTTTTTTTTTTTTTTTTGCATAAAGATCTGTGGACTGTGTTGTTCATAGATGGTGATGTTTCTGCACATCAGCAGGGTTACATGAAGGCTCTGTGTCCCCCCTGACTCAGCTCGGAATGTGTTGGTAGGACTGGAAAGAGTTGGGCCCTTCTGAATTGCTCAGGAATGATGGAAGTACAGGAAGAATTGGCAGTGCCTCAGAGACACAGTGCTCGCAGAGAGAGTTTGGGCTAACCTTTCTTTGGTGAAGGCCTGGTGACGTGGATACGGTGTAGCAGTAATTTTATGTTGACATGGGATGACTCAGAAAGGTCAGTAATGGACACTGGTAATCTACAGCGTAAACAGGAAAGATGATTCCTTTGCAGCCAGCTACGCTATGTAAAAGAAAGAGAGAACATGTAATTTAAGAAGGTATTTGAAAACTCGGATTTCAAACTACTGATTTTGAAAACGTTCCTGCTTCCCTATTCTCTACTGCTTTACATATCCCATATCTGTCATCTCTGTGAAAAAGGAAATAAGCATAAAAAATTCCTATCCTTTGGGAAGCATTGAGTTAGCATAATGTAATATTCTCTAGTTAGCCATCAACAGCTATAACAACTCCTTAGATCTAACAGTTTCCTGATGTACTTTTTGAGAGAATATTTTGTGAGATGACATATGCTAATGATGGTTCTAGAGGCCCTGAGCATACATATTGAGGTCTTAAATGGTAGATAACTTAAGCTGTTGCATTTTGACACATCCAAGAATTATATACTGTTAAATGCCAGAAACTGAATACAGGGATTAATATAGGTCCAAGCTGTCCCTGTAGACTTACATTTTCCTTACAACGCATCTCTCCATTGAAGACAGCGTTGTTGTTTTTTGGTTTATTTTAAGGAAAATTCCTGGGGAGCTCTCAGTCCTCAGCTGGTGTGAATAAATAAGACTAGTTCCACACTTCTGAGCTACAGTTCAAGGAGGCCTTCAGGAGACACAGAAGTCCCACTGCATCTGGCAATACAACTTGCATCCTCAAATTTGCCTACAAAGCTGTAAATGCTAGGGGCAAACCTTTATCAATGTATCTGTCCTGTTGTTAGTCATCCACAGTGGTTTACCTAAGGATATGGAAAATGCCTCATTTGTCAGTAGGGATCTGTGTTGCCAGAAGCTAGCTTCCATTTCCCAGGTACCCAAAGCTGCTCTAGTAGAAGACATCAGAATCTTCTGACAAAGTAAATGATAGGTGCAAAGAAGGAAGCCTATTTAAGCAGAGTATCAAAGCAGGACAAGAACAGAAATAGTAGAGTTGGACAGTTAACAGATCATATCTAAGATTGCAAGAAAAGAATCACATGCTGTTCTGGATTAGCAGAAAGACCGCAGTCTCACCATTTAAAAGGACAAGGAAAATTTGGTTCGGAACAAATGTAAGTGAATTAGGTAACAGAAAACATCTCCTCGGCCATTGGTACAGAAAGAAAGAAATACTACGTGAAAAGACCATTTTCGGATAGACAAACTCTAAACTAATGTTTAGAAGCTAAGAAAAGGAAGCATTTTGGTCTCAGCTTAACTCTGTCCCTGTGGGTAGCCCCGTTTGTTTGGTTTGCAGTGAACCTTCCAACATCCCCTTTGCACAAATCATCCGGCCTCCAAACTCTCGGGCACTGTCCTCCCTTAACCACAACTTGCCAGCTCCTTCACAAAGCACTGGGCCTATTATATTTCAGCTTGCTTGTCATAGAGCCTAACAAGCTATTTCAATAGCTTCCTCACACTTGTGAGTTAGCGAGCTTCTAATGCTTCTTCACCCTTACTTAAAAGAGACTGCTATTGGAAAACCTAATACATTCAATATGACAGGGCAGGGTTTACAAATCTAGTTGTCTGGTTTCTATTGACATTTAAAAACAATGTTAGTGACAAAAATGTAATTATTCCTAAATGATGGAAACAAGGAGCCAGGCGTACTGAATGAACTTGTTTTGAACCTCTATTCATTTCACTTCAGATTTTGGCAGAGGTTTTTGCTGGTTTCTATTTTATCCTAACCAGTTTATCCATGTTCCAGACTTTATGTTCTGCGGCTGTCAAGCTTTTCTGTGGAATTCACCCATTGCCACAGAACTGTACTGGAGAAATCCGGCATGCATCTGAAAAATAAGACAATTGTCTTGTTCTCACATGTACAGATCAAATTGAGAACATGCACTGAGCATATGCTGACAGAGTGCTCTCTCCATCACTTTTCAGGCTGCCTTAAATTGCAGTTTTGAAAGGTGTGAACTACCTCATTTATCTCAGTTGGGGATGGAAGGATTCCCCTATTCCAATCTGTAGAATCTGCTGATTTGTACTGTGCCATAGAAATTCAGCATTTTTGCCACTAAATTCCCAGCCTTACTGCAAGCTAGTGCTTTGCTTCCTTCCTCCAAGTTTTGCTGGAACTCATTTTAAATGTTTGGCAATCTGCTCAGGGCAACTCTGAGCAGCAGGGCCGGACTGGGCCATTTCTAGTGGTCCCTTCCAGTCTCTGCCATTGTGTGACAGAATTTCTCCATGGAAGGAGACGATTGCTCTATCATAGCATTTGCTCTTCCTGCACTGTTCCATGGACACCTCCGACAAACACGTAGGGACTTAATTAATGCATACAGGTCAAGTCCTCAGGTGTCAGCTTACCAGTTAATACACTGCCGTATGCAGGTGGGAAATGATACAGCAGCAAGGTCCTATGAAACCATTAACAACACTCTCCTATCTATATGAAATGCTGCTAACATCTGTGTGGCTAGGAGTCAGTTGAGTAGAGCTGCCATGATGAAAATCTGCCATCCCTACAGCCTCAAAGCTGTGTTTTGATGCAGGATGACTCAACGCAGAAAGCTCAGATGATCCTTGCAGATGCTGGACCAGTGATATGTTGGCAAACACTCTTGCCACAGAGAAGGTCCACAAACAGCTATCTTGACTGGATTAATTTCTCGTTCTTCATACTTCACAATAAGACAAGAATTCTGAGACTCGTATAACCAAAACGTAAGACACTTCTGCCCACTTTCAGCTCCACACCACCCACTCACAACATATTTCTTCTACCATGTTTATGTTTTGCCTCAAACTCAGGTGGGATTCGTGTTGGACAGATTTGTGTTGGACAGATTAGTTGGACAGACAACTAAAACTTCTAAGCTTAACATCAGCTATTCAGCTGGGATCCTCTT